AACCCAATAGTCATTTATGCTAAGACTCCCGGCAAAATGTGGATAGAGGGAACATGCCTCATCACAATAAAGGCCATATATGACAAACTCAAAGCTAACACTATACCAACAGTGAAAAGCTGAAAGCTTTGTCTTAAACATCAGGAACAAGACAAGGGTGTCCACTTTCAACATTTTTGTTCTGCATAGTATTGGAAATCCTAGCTACAGCAATCAGACAAAAAAGAAAAAGCACTTGAGTTAGAAAGGAAGAAATGGTGGTGGGAAACTGGAAGCACATGCAAAGGAAATGAAACTACATCACTTTCTTACACCACATTCAGGAATAAATCCAAAATGCATTAAAAATTTAAGTATAAAACCTGAAACCATAAAACTTCTAGAAGAAAACATAGGCAGCAAACTCTTTGAATTGCTCTTGGCAATATTTTTTTGTGTATGACTCCTTATGTGAGTGAAACAACAGCAACAAAAAAATAAATGAGACTACATCAAACTTAAAGAGTTTTTACACAGTGAAGAAAACAATCAACAAAATGAAAAGACAGCCTACTGAATGGAAATGGAAGAAGATATTCACCTATGATACACCCTAAGCGGTTAATATCCAAAGTATATAAGAAATTCATACAATTTAACACCACCAACAACAAACAACAAAATAGCCTGGCTGGTGTGGCTCAGTGGTTGAGCGTCATCCTATAAACTAAGTCACCATTCAATTCCCAGTCAGGACACATGCCTGGGCTGCAAGCTTCGTCCCCAATGTGCAGGAGACACCCGGTCAATGTTCTGTCTCATCATTGAAGTTTCTAGCTCTTCCCTCCCCACCGCCACCCCCCTGAAGTCAGTAAAAATATATTTTGAAGAAATGGGCCGGGGATCTAAATAGACACTTCTACAAAGAGGACATACAGATGACATCTGAAAGATGCTCAACATTACTAATTATTAGAGAAATGCAAATTAAAACCAGAATGAAAGGTCACTTCACCCTGTCCAAAAGGCTGTCTGTAACAAATTAGCAGACAAGTGATGGCAAGGGTGTGGAGAAAGGGTAACCTTCATGCATTGTTGGTGGGAATGCAGACTGGTGCAGCCAGTGTGGAAAACAGTATGAGGCTACCTCAAAAAATTAAAAATAGAACACCATATGACCCAGCAATTCCACTTCTGGGTATTTATCCAAAGAAGTCTAAAACACTAATTTGAAAAGATCTGTACATCTCTATGTTCACTGTAACATCCTGTATAATAGAGGTAATATGCAAATTTCCCTCGTGCCCTCACATCACAAGATGGCTGCTCCCATGTCACAAAATGGTTACCCCCACATCATCACAAGATGGCCACTCCCATGTCATCACAAGATGGCCACCCCCATGTTGTCAGAAGGGGAGGACAGTTGGGAGGGACCAGGGGACCAGGCCTGCAGGGGAGGGCTGTTGGGGGGGGGGGGGGCAGGCCTGCAGGAAAGCAGTTAGGTGTCAATTAGGCCATCAGGGGCCAGTTAGGGCAATTAGGTAGGCAGGCAAGTGGTTAGGAGCCAGCAGTCCTGGATTGTGAGAGGGATGTCCAACTGCCGGTTTAGGCCCAATCCCAAACTGGCAGTCAGCTATCCCCCAAGGGTCCCAGGTTGGAGAAGGTGCAGGCTGGGCTGAAGGACACACACACACACACACACCCCACACGAATTTCGTGCACCAGGCCTCTAGTTATTTATAATAGTTAAGTAGGGAAGCAACCTAAGTTTCCCTTCGATAGACAAATGAATAAAGATGTGACACATATATACAATGAAATAGTACTCAGCCATAAAAAGAATGAAATCTTGCCATTTGTAATAACATAGATGGACCTAGAATGCATTATGCTAAGTGAAATAACTCAAAGACAAATACCATATGATTTCACATATATGTGGAATCTAAAAAATAAAATAAGCAATACAAATACATCTAAAGAACAAATTGATGGTTGCCAGATGGGGGAGTAGTCAGGGGAATGGTGAAATGGTAAAGGGATTAAGATATACACATTTCCAGTTATAAACATAGTTATGGGATATAAACTATAGCATAGGGAATGTAGTCAATATTGTAATAATCACATATTGTTTCAAGTGAGTACTAGACTTAGCGAGCTGATCACTTCTTAAGTCATATAGCCATCTAACCACTATGTTGTACACTTGAAACTAAGGTAATATTGTATGCCAATAGTAATTGAAAAATAAAAATTGTTTAATAAAGAAAGGACTGAAGTTTTCTCATCAGAAATGAGGAATCCAAGAAAGGTTGAAAAGCATGGTTTTTTAAGGAAACCAACTAGTTGTATTTAATGACTTCATTCAAGAACATTTGATACCCGAGAGAAGGATGAAGAAAACAAGTGGAAGGTGCTTTCTGCAGGGCAGGAGACTGGCTGTGGAGGTGTGGTGAGGGGCAGAAACGCTACATGATCTAACTTTCTTCTTAGGCATATTGTTAAGTACACGCTTAACAAAATGAGAGGTGAAGCCAGGAGAAAGCAAGTTGGAGGGTAAGGAATTAAGGGATTGAAGATTATAAAGAAAGCGGATAAGTTATTTTGAAAAGGAGGAGTATGTAAAAAAGAAAGTTGGGAAATTTCAGAATTTAAGATTATAGAGGTAGAATTCTAAAAGTTGTATCTAGAAAACTTATCTTTCAAAATACAAATGGGAACTTATCTCTTGTGGCTTGAAAACCTCGATTTCTGGGTGGAGTCTTTACTACTTAAAGAACAGGCAAGGTTCATCACAACCTGGACCAACCTCCTTTTCCAGGCAAATGTGCCCTCGTCTGTTGTGAACCCCATAGTCTCACCTCACGCTGCACAGATTCCTGAAGGCCTTTACCTGCTTTGCCTTTGCACATGCTGTTCCCCTCGCGTGAAATGTTCTTCCTCCTCTTTGCCTTGCAAACTCCCGCCCATCTTCAAGCCTAACTCAGGCGGCACTTCTCTGCCAGGTCTTTCCAGGCTCCTGCAAAACAAAACAACACTGAGCACGTCTTTGTCTCTGCTCCTGCATTTCTCTCTAGACGTCCTGTGGGATTTTACCACAGTATATTAATTTATATGTCTCTCTATTCAGTAGATTATAAACTCCTTGACTTCAGAACCCATCTCATTCTCTTCTTCACCTATAATGCAAGTACAGATAGTAGGTGTATAGTATCTGCTTTTGTTCTTTGCTGTGGAATTTTAAAGGAGTGAGTTAATCTGGTACTTCTCAAATGTGAACCGAATCACCTAGAGATCTTGTTAAACCTCAGATTCTGGCCCTGACCGGGGTGGCTCAGTTGGTTGGGCCCTGTCCCATGCACCTAGAGGTCACAGGTTTGATTCCCCATTAGGACACATGCCTGGGTTGCGCGTTTGATTTTCAGGAGGAGGTGTGCAGGAGGTGGCTGATCAATGGTTCTCCTCTCCCCCCCCCCCCCATCTCTCTCTAAAAGTCAATTAAAACATCTAACAAAAAAACAAAACTTTCATTTACTCTGAGATCCTGCCTCTCTAATAAGCTTCCCAGTGGTGCCAGTGTTGCTGGGTTTGTGGAACTCATCCAGCAAGCCTTTGCCCAAGTAAATAGCAGAAGTGTAGTAAAGATAAAGCTTAATAGGAATGTGGAAGTGTAGCACTTATGGGGACAGAGACTTGAAAAAGCCTCACTGTGAACACTGGAGTCCTTAAAATGATAGCAGAACACCACATGGGAAGAGATGCTTATTGTGGAATAAAGCAGGAGACCAGAGTGGGGGACAGTAGCTAAAAGGGCTGGGGTGATATAGTTCTGTGGCTTATGCCTCAGAAAAGGAGGTGTTGTCCGGTGCTGGCAGCCGCTGATGCTCGGGGGGGGGGGGGGGGGGGGGGGTGTGGGTCTGGGGTTCACTGGAAGGGTTAGGACCTCCATGTGTACTCCAAACAAAATGGCACTTCCCCCAATGTGAACAGGAGTGTGAGTGACAAACGATCATTTCCTGATCTTAAGTTACCAGGTTCAAAGTAGGAAGGTTCTCTTTCTTTTTTTAAACTCATAAATGACGGGGAAAGTAGTACCAACAAACATTCTGCTCTACATATAATTTCACAGGTCTGATGATGGGTGTGATCAACCATTTCTTTTGTGCACTGTGTGCAGAGGGTACAAGTACCCATGTATGTTTCACAGTAGGGGAAAGGCAAAGATAAAGAACTGTTACATCTCCTCCCACTCACCCCTTCCCCCACAGAGAACTAATCAATATTTACCGCCTGATGCGTATTCTTGTAGCTTTTACCCATGCAAATTTATGTGCATAGACAGGAATTTTTCAAATTCCATCATGGTGCTTTAGCAGGCACATTATTCTGCAGACTGTTTTTCTCACTTAGGATAGGTCATAAACATCCCTCCAGGTCAGTGGATAGAGCTCTCACTTGTTTTTTTCCTAGCCATTTTAAAATAGCTGTGTATAAATATAATGTCCCATAATTTGTTCTGCCACTCTCCCATTGATGGAAAATTGGGTAATTTCCAATTTTGGCTACTACAAACAATCTGACACACACGAAAAACCCTATTGTGACAGTGCCTCAGTACCAGAACTCTGATTTCAACCAGCCACGCATATCACAGTAGCTTTCATATCAAGGACATTTCTGAATGAAGCTTAGCAGTGGCGAGGCCTGTGCTACCCAATGTAGTAGCCATTGGTCACATGGAGCTATTTAAATTCGCTAGAATTAAGTCACATTAAACATTTACTTCTTCAGTCACATCAGCCTCATTTCATGTGTTCAGCAGCCACAGGAGAGGAGTGGCCACCGTAGTAGACAGCACAGCACAGACCATTCCACCCCCAGAAAATTCCACTGCGCAGCCTGGACTGGACACTAGTGCTACACCCTAGAGAAGGAAGTGTTTCTCAGGGGGCTGGTGTTGTAAGAGAGCAAATTTTTAAAAGTACAAACTGTGTTTTAATTGGTTGCCTCTGCAGTTACTTCAACGAGAATCAATATCCAGATGAAGCAAAGAGAGAAGAAATTGCAAACGCTTGCAATGCAGTCATACAGAAGCCAGGTAAGGCAGCGAGGTGCTCTGCGGGGCGGCGCTCGGCTTCAGGTCCTCGCTTAGGTCACGAAAGGCCCCGACTCATCCCGCTTTGTGCTCTTTGTGCCGTCCTCCTGTGGAGAGGCACGCCCTGTCCTGGTCAAACCACGCTTCGTGGGGACGTGACTGTGCTGCCCAGTCAGAGGTTCATATGGGAACGTTTCCAGGGAGTGTCCCTGATGAAGAGGCAAGAGCTTGAAGTTAATGTTTTTAAGACTATAGGTTTCTTTTTTCAAAAAATAGCATAAATATATCAATTCCAAAGTAGTTTAAATCGTTCATCAGTTTGTTAATAAAAATATTGGCATAGAATTTTTTAACCATTGTAAAATGTCTAATTTAGAGCCGAAGAGAGAACTGTGTTTGGAGTTGGCTCTGGGAGGACTTCTGCTCAGCCAGGAGGGGTTGGGGGATTCCATTCTGAGGTCCTGCCCTCAAGTGCGTCAGCAGAGCCACTTAAACACACTCGCCCTTTCTCCCAGGTGCTAAGATATCGATAGTTCACATTTTACAGTTTTTGTTACCAAAAACCATTCAGTTATGACAATCGGATTGATCTCCATTTGGCCCATTAACGTGATTGGCTTAAAGACTGTAAATTAAAGTATAAATGCTTTGTAATAATTAAATAGTAATTTATTCTTCCTTAGCTAGAAGCCTGGCTGCTTAAAAGTCCAGAGCCTACAAGCTCAGCTCTGTCATCATCTAAAAGTCCCATCCCCAAAGCTGTTGGAACTCCAACTCTTCCTGGAAAACACATTACCCCTAGCTCATCAAGGCCCTAACCTGTTTTGTTGTTGTTGTTTTTTTAAATATATATTTTATTGATTTTTTACAGAGAGGAAGAGAGAGGGATAGAGAGTTAGAAACATCGATGAGAGAGAATCATCGATCAGCTGCCTCCTGCACACCCCCTACTGGGGATGTGCCCTCAACCAATGTACATGTCCTTGACCGGAATCGAACCCGGGACCTTTCAGTCCCCAAGCCGATGCTCTATCCATTGAGCCAAACCGGTCTCGGCAAGGCCCTAACCTGTTTTCTGGAGTCTCCACCCATGTGGGTTAAAGCTGAGACAGGAGAGGACAGGGTGGAAGGGAAAGGTACAGGTGGGTCCTTGTTGGCAAACATGGTGCTGTCCATAAGAAGTCACATTTGACAGCAAAGAAGATAATAAATCTAAAATGTTCCTCTCATGCTGTGTTGCAGCATCGTCACAATAACGGATGGCTAAGTAGCATTTAGTCTCCAAGAAAACATGAGACAGCAGTAACTAATCAGTGTAAGATCTGAAAGACGTACGTAAACCAGCTATCTGAAACCCTGTTAAGGAATAGCATAGTCATCTAGAATGATGCTAATTAAATGAAGCCTCTGTGTGCTCTCCGGTGAACAGCAGCCCCAGCAGACTGACTCTGTGCTATCCTTTAGGATTGTATTTAGTACTGGAATTCTTTAAGATTGTGTGGCTTTCTGAATTCAGGCATTTTATATTATGAGTTGCTATTTGTGAATTTTTTCAATAATAATTTGAGTATGAACATTGTACTAGGTGTTGCAAACCTGCCCCCCTACATATCTGTTATTTAACAATAAGTGCAATCAATAGAACTTTTAAAAAAGAAAAGTATTATTCCTTAAAACTAGTCTGAGATATAGATTACCTGAATTCATTGCATGCATTCACAGGCAAAAAACTGTCAGACCTGGAGCGAGTTACCTCCCTGAAAGTGTACAATTGGTTTGCCAACAGGCGGAAGGAGATCAAGAGGAGAGCCAATATCGGTAATGTATCAGGGAGGCTGCTTCTCCTTTCGGGCAGTTAACGCTGTCTATTTTAACAGGACTTCAGTTTAGAACTGCAGGTATAAAGTACCCTACATTGTAAACCTAGCAAGAATTGTCCTTATGTTTTTCTTCATTGTATTTTTAATAACCCAGTTAATATTACTTAAAGTATTTGTTACAATAATAATGCTATTATTATTTCTCAAACTCATTGTTCTTAATGTTCTAGACCACATGTGTCAAACACAAGGCCTGCGGGCCAAATCCGTCCCGCCAGGCCTTGCAATGTGGCCCGCACCGTGCTGTAATCACTGCACTCCGCTGCGTTTCCATCACAATGACAGTTTATGACTGTTCAGTAAACCATTCGGCCCGCGATTTAGGCTGGATTTTAGATTTTGGCCCTTTCTCTGATTGAGTTCGACACCCCTATTCTAGACTCTAGAATGAGACATGGTCTCTGAGCAATTACTCCTGTGGTGCATGTTAAAGACACTTGTAAGGTCTGGAGAGAAGGAATGTGAAACCCCAGCTTCTTTGTTATTACCTGGTTATGACCTCAGTATTAAGAAACATCTGATTATTAGAGTTTGAATGAAAGAATCTTAGACAGGGAACATAACAAAAGGCAGAGATTTTAAAAAGAAGGGAGCATTTAAGAAATGGATGAGCTTATGGCGGGGGGGTGGGGGGGGAGCGGAATTGCGCTTCTAAAACTGTATTTTATTTTAAACTTACTCCCTCTTCATCATTACAAATCTCAAACACTTTAACGAACTTCAAGATAGGAGGTCCGTATTATTAGTTGGTGTCAACCATGCAACAGTCAACCACGCAAATGCAGCCCACACAGCAGCAGGCCCCAGAATGCACACGTGTCCCTTGTCTGACCTCCATGCCCTGAGCTTCATCTGTCTGCAATTTCAAAGAAACAGAACATAGGGAAACCTAGGCTCTTGTTTAATGACGTTCTAATTCTTCAACACAGAAAATTAATTCAGCATTTAGGCCATTATGATGCTGTAACACATAATTAAGGGATCCATTTGCTTTTTTCGAAGAAGCAGCAATCCTGGAGAGTCATGGGATAGATGTACAGAGTCCAGGGGGCCATTCCAACAGTGACGACGTCGACGGCAACGACTACTCCGAGCAGGTAAGGGGCTGAGCAGAGGATCAGGGTACAGAGTGGGTGGGAGAGTGTGACAGCTCAGTTTTGCGGAGCGTATGGTGTGGGAGGGGAAGAGGAGACAGTCTGATGTCCCTCCACACTGTACTCGTGTGTCTAGTTGGATTTTTGTGTAATTGGAAAGCAATGTGGTAAGATTCAGTTGTCCTGTTGAATTTGTGAGGAATCGTTATTCACCTACATGGATTTATTGTCATACAACAGGATACTTGGCAAGTACGCAATGGGGAGGAGGAGGAGGGAAGAAGTTCAGAGGGAGGCAGAGAAGCAGAGAAGGTAGAAGAAGAGAGGAGGATCTGATCCAAACAAGCAAGTTACACCATTCCCCACACTCACACTCACTGTCTGAGAAACACTAGGGGCTGCTGGGTAGCCGTACCCAAGCCTAAGCACCACCGATGGCGCCCAGTGGAGGGCCCCTCCCCCGCGCCCCATCTCAGTGGGAACCACGTGTTGAGATGAGTGGTTCTTCCAGAGTCTCTGGCACATTGACACACACCCTCTCTCATAAATGCATGTCCTCTACCTCACCTGACTTACTCTTCATTGCGTGGGGGCAGAAATATATTTAATTATAGCCACTGGATGGAGAAATTCGGTAACGGAGGATGTGGGATGTTCCCCGCCCCCGTATCTGTTGACAGATTTCATTTACATTTTTCTGGGATTTGAAATTCATTGCCATTTGGAACGTGGTCTCTCCTGGACCCCAGGAAGGAAACTTCCCTGTGGCCTATGCCCCTCCCTTGCTGCTCAGTCAGCCCTTAAATCCCGCCCTCTGTGCTCCCTCTGCCTCCCGTGACACAACCTGTTCAGACACTGCGCCACCTAAGCCCAGCCCGTGAAAACGAGAATGAAACAGCGCCTGTACTTCCCGGGACCTGCTCCTCTCTGGGCTCCGCATCGCAGCTCCACCTTTCCCCTGGAGTGTTCATGAGTCTTCCTCATTGGAAACATTCCTGGTATTTCCCACCTTTTTATCCAGATGCCCTAAGGGCAGCATATCCCACCCTCCCCAAAGTTCTTTGATGCAGATTTCCCCTGAAGGTGGGAAACCTGTCCCTCCTTTGTAACACATGTTCAGTGCCACAAATGCAAGGCCAGTGTCCTCCCCGCTCTATTGTTAGCACCTCAGTGAGGGGAGGGATGTCACACTCCAGCTAAGGTGGCCGCTTCCCGCACAGCAGGTGGCTGCACACTTTCCCCAAGCTGTCCCGCAGTGACACTGCTGACACTTCCGTGCTGCTGTCATCGAGAGATGGTTATTTTCTTTATTTTTTTTTTTACAAAAGTGCAGTTTTATCCATAAGATGTTGGTGTCTAACTTCCTGTCTAGTTTTCTCAGTTCAGTGGAGAGAGACCATGAATTCTAATAATCCTGGAAGCACCATCCAGAATTTAATAGCTCACCATCATGGCCTTCAGTGACTAGAGCTTTGTTTTTTGCAAAACTAGAATGAGCCAGATTTGATTATTACCAACAACAATCTTCCTGAAAGAATACAATGCATAGCAAGAAAAGAAAAAACTTGTCTGTTGAATCCTAAAACTGTCACCCCAAAATCTCTGGACTATCCATTCAGTGTCTACTTAAATGCATTTCGCCCCACTCCGTCCTGAGCCCTTCCCCCCTCTCCTCCGCCCCAGCCGCTCTGCCTCCCCTTGCCCAGCATGCCTTTCTGGGAGCCGGAGCCTGTCCCCGTCCTCTAACATGTGTTTCTTATCCCTGCACGTCTAGGATGACAGCACTAGCCATAGTGACCACCAGGACCCCATCTCACTCGCTGTGGAAATGGCAGCCGTCAACCACACCATCTTGGCATTGGCCCGACAAGGAGCCAACGAAATCAAGACAGAGGCCCTGGATGACGACTGACCGGGGAGGGCGACGTGAGAGTAACTTAGTTTAGACGTAGCACCTTAGCAGACTTTCCCCGGTCCTTAACACGTGTTCTCACAGTATAACTTGCAGTTTCTTGTATGTCAGTTAGCCGTTAGGGTCTTCTTGTTCTGTGAAGATGGCATGGTGCCCTCCGCCTTTGCATATACTCTCTCAGTATTAATTCCCAGTAAATAATAAGCAACCAACCAACCAACCAACCACACTTCCCTCTCCCGGCCCCAAGGCTAGAAATTTCGCTGCTCCGTCTTAGCATTCCAAGAAAGTGCTTCCAGGTATGTAGATAGCCCTCCAGCCTCCGACACTAGGCTACATGTAATCCGCGGATGCCGCGGACCCCCGTCCCACCGTCTGTCCCCTTCCCTCCTCGGCTGACAGGATGCAGGCTGAGGCAGTGTGGCCCGGGACTGACGGCCCAGGCGGGGAGTGTCCACAGTGAAAGGAGCATGAGCCCCACCTCGGGGTGGGGGTCCCTGATTTCTAGCTTCAACAAGCCGTGCCTCACAACAGTCACACGGGCTGTGACGCCTGTCTGGGCTGTGCCGGAACGCAGCAGGGGAGCTCCAGCTCAGGCTCAGGTGAGGGTGCCATGCCTGACAGACACCCAGTCCTCTCACAGCTGTGTGACTGATAGACAAAATACTGCCTTCTGCCTTTGGGACCATGATTAAAACAGACAAAAATAGAGGTCATTTAAAAACACCCCAGCTTGAGAGGCACTGGGAAGTGACACGAGCTGAATGTGTGTGGATGCCGCGGCCAGCTCTCAGAACCGCCGTCTGTCTGTCAGGGTGGCTCAGGCCGGGCCTGGCTGGGAAAGTGCCCGAGGTTTTCAGGAGCTGCTTGCCTCCTGTGTCCCCTTCCCTGCCGCCAAACAAGTCTTTCCAGGACGAAGCTAAGGTTAAAAATGAGTGAACGAACTTCAGTCTTTGTGTCTATCGGCTGAAGCCCCTCAATGTGAGGGTTGTAGAGGACTGGACGGTAGCTGTTGCTGACTGACTCACAGATGCTAACACTTCCCCGCACAGGGGCAGGACGACGGGACGTTGGCCACGAACGTGGTGGTTCTGCGTGACAGACGGGTGTGACTGCTTTGGTGTTCTCTTTGCTCTGTCCTTGGAGCCGTGTGAAAAGCTGTATTGCTACAGGCAATTTATTTAATAATTGGAAGCCATATTGATAATGGATGTGGTAATATTTGTAAAGTTTAATCTTTAAGCAGCAGTAACCTAATGGAATTTTTTTCCTTGATCATATATGTAGCACTTTTGTTACTTCTTAAAGATATTTATATTTGATAAACCTTTTTTTCATTTTGAGAACTCAAAATACCAAACAGTGAACTTGAGTTATAAAGTCACCCTGTGATCACCTTGTCGTCTAGTAGCAAAAATGATGAACTATTCATGCATTGAAGAAAATTACATCTGCTGGCCCTGTATGAAAATGATTTCTCAGCATCCCGGTTAAATGACGCTGTCAGTGCGGTAAGGATCGGCCCTCCCCTCGGGGCGATGGCGGAGGGCGTGTCTGAGAGGGCACGCACCCTGCCTTTGCCCGGTCCATCTCCTTCCTGCGGACAATGGGGCCTTGTGTAAGGGGACTGTGGGTCCTTTTGTCCATCACCTGAAAACGACTTCTAACATAGAAGAAGGTGCCGTTTCCTTACCTCCCTCCCACCCCCACCAATGTATCCAACTTAAAACCATTGAGAGTGAGACTTACTGACCTTCCCTTTTCTCTTTCTTGTTAGTGAGATACTGCATGTCGCCAGTCTCTCGCTGGTCTAACTCCACCGCAGGCACATGGTGACGCCACCAGCTCGTGCCTGTGAGCCGGCGGGCGTCGGTGGGAGCCAGCCTGAGCGCGGGCGTCACGGTGCCACTGTGGGCCTGTGGCTTACGGGGCTGTCCGCAGGGCCTGGCCTGCTCTTGTCCGTGGATTTCAGGGGGAAATGTATATACTTTTTCACTTCCAAGAGCTGAAGTAGAATGGAGTAGCCTTTTCTGTTTTACTGTGTTACTTGAACCAACAGATTCAAGAGTAGCATTTGTTCTCAGGAATGACCCCCACTCGTTTTCTTTCTTGCCGTCTTTGACTTTTCGTTTAGATTAGGAGGTTGTGTTACCTTTCTTTCCTTTTATACGACTTAGAACTATAACTTGTATCTTTCCATTTCTGTGGAATTTTGTTGGCTTATTCTAGGCTGATTCAGAAAAAAAAGGGGGGGAGGGGGAGAAAAATACACTTTCTGACAAGCCACATCCATGATTGATTATTGTCAGGAGATTATTATAATAGATAGCTTCTTTATGATGGGATTGCTCGTCTGGCTTGTGCTTGCTGTTCTTTTTAAAGAAACAGACAAACTGTTAAGAAGACAGCTGCAGTTTCTAAAGAACTACAGTGATTGCCAGAGAGGAGCTCAAAGGTTTCATTGTTTTAAGACATTTAAGGAAGGGGAGGGGGACAGAACGAAAAAGGAGAGCGAGTGTCCAGAGGCAGCACCAGGCCCCGTCTCGGATCTCGGGAAGGAAGGGATGTGTCCGGAGGAGCAGGAGGACTGCCGGCTCGCTCTCACCACTGCCTTACGTGCTCTTGCTTTTCACCAAGAGTAGACCTTTAGTTCTTAGGGGCGTACTGTTTTGTTTTTTACCAGGTTCCATTCCACTCTCTTATCCAGGTTACCTTAGTTATTATAATGGCATATGGAGTTGCCACTAATTTGTAATATTTTTGAATCGTAATACTTTTTCTGAAGTTTTCTTAGGTTTAAGATGTGATATTGTAATAGAAACTGCTCTCTTACTGAAGGGAATAGCTGGGCTCTTAAAGAACCCCTGCTGTTCCCGTGGTCATCCTGTCTCTCTCCTCTCTCTTCATGGTGGGCTTTCTCCAGGGCTGATCAGATCAGAAGGCCGGGGGGTTGGAGGGAGGGGCTTGCCAGTTCATGTCACTTGTCTGTATTATTGTTTTAAGACTTCATTGAATTACCGTGGTCACATGGGTACACGTCCTTCCTAAAACAGAGCCTTACAAAGGGACCTCCTAACGATGGACCATCCTGATGAAATCTGCCTCTCCGTCTCCGTCCATAACTCGATGTTCCGTGAAGGCCCGGGAGAACATCCGGTCCACTCTTATCGGAGGTGGCCTAGTGCAGTGAGGACCAAACAGCATCTTGGGGCAGGTGGGTGTGGTTCCTGCTCGTTGCCACTGGTGGGACAGCCTGCCCCACATTCCCATCTCCCCACAGAAAGGCAGGCTGGAGGGGAAGACCCCGAAGGCACCTGTACTTCAGCTCAGTAGAGGTGACCCCTAAAGAGAGGAGAATGAGGAATGAGGAGATGCTCAGAAACATGAAGTGTGCGGACCAGGACCCCAGTCGGGTTGGACAGCAGGCGATGCAGGGCCAGGCATCAGGTCACTTACCTCAAGGGGATGGCTGGAGCGCACAGACACTGGTTTCTTTTCTGCATTTGGCCTTTGTCTCTATAAATTTCTCTCCTGGATCCCAGCCTTCAGGCGTCAAGTGTAGCTGCACTTCCTTTCATCGGGACCTCCGGTCACATCCTTTCCTCCGACCAGCAGCTCTTCCGTTCCTCCGGGCTCCGGCCCGGAGCCTCGGCACGCGCGTCCTGGCTGGAGCTGTTTGCATGTAGGAGAGCGGCATCTCCACCCGACACCCCTGCCGCCCAGCCTGGTGTTTCCTACCGGCCACATGTCCCATCGATCAGCTACATTCTCTCTGCCCATAGCAGCGGAAGTAATCCGTTCATAAATTATCTCCCACTCCAGTCCTGAAAATGTGAAATTCAAGTCCTTTCTCTCTGTTCTGAAAGGTTTGGTAAGAAGCATTCTTCCCATTTAGCTCATGTCTCTGCCTCCGCCTCCCCCCCTTTTCTTTTTTTACTGGGAACCACCAGAGTGTTTTCCCCAGTGAGTCTCACAGATTCTTAGGCAATAATTGTCTTGTTGGTGATCCCCTGAGCAGCTCTGCCCCTCGGCTGAGCACTGGTTTTCCGTGTTCCTCTCGCCTGTGACTTAAACCTCCTGCCATTTTGTTGTGTTAGTGACGCTTCACGACTGCATCCGTCAGGTTGCGCTGAGCCCACCAGACCACGGACAGCTTTCCTGAGCCGGCTCTGTCGGGAGCCCCGCATGGACGCTGGCATGTGGGCCCGCTCCTCCTGGTGGCTCCTTGTGGGGTGTCGGGTGCTGCAGGAGTGGCGTGCGGGCGGAATTCCGCATGTGATACCTTCCTTGCTGTGTGCTCGTGGAATAGCAGGGATGCTTCCTCAGGATTTGGGGGTCGGCTGTCGGCCATATTGAATTTGGCAAACTGAGCTGCATGTCCTGAAGCCCTTTACTGTCCCTTCATTTCCAGGGTCTAGTCAGTCACCTTGTCGGGCCTGAGTTACCCCGGGGAAGGTCTCCCCGGAGGCAGCCATCCTGGCCAGGCAGGCCCTTCTCTGTGCTGCGTGCTCTGTCTGGGAGAGACTCCCTTACGCGGGGGAAGTAGGTGGTGGGAAAGGCTTTCTGGTCATCGCGCCTAAGAAGCCATCGCCGCGGGCCGAAGCTCCTCCCACAGCAGGCTCTGCAGGGAGAGGCTGCTCAGTCCTCTCACGGCTGAGGCCCAGGTTGGTCCACTGACCTCTGGGCACAGCTTCGTTCGTGTCTGTGTGCAGTCAGACGCCTGAGTTTACAACCGAGAAGTTTCCACACCAGCAGCATTCCTCTTTCGTGGTGGGGAAGAGTAGCAGCAGCAAAAAGAACGCTAAGGACCCGAGAAACCCAATTTCCTGAAATATTGGTTTTCTTTTGAGATCAAGAAGGGAGGGAACAGAGAAGAGGGAAAATCCCGCTGCACCCAACAGTCTCCCATCCCCTCACCCCCTTACCCAAGGGGCTGGAGCATGTCGATGCCTTGGGATCCCAGACATGCGTGTTCCCGGACTCCTCTCCATCATTCCTTGCGTGGCCTCGGGGCCAGGCCGTGAGCAGAACTAAATCTAGCTGATCCCACTGAAGTGAGAGCTAACTGGCACTTTTTACACCAGAGTTTACACGTTTCACACCTCGTCTCATTAGCCAGCTCCCTGAGAACAGGGAAGGAGTTCTCTGCGGGCGCTTTGCCTTCCTCCTGACGTCACTTTTACTTGGCAGGTTCTTGGATCAGTTCGCCCGGTACTGTCCCCTCCGGTGGGTGTCAGTGCCCACGGCATCGCCTGCGTGGGGCGCAGCCAAGGGCACAGCCACCACCTGCCACACGCCGGCCAGGGGGGGCCTGTGTGCACAGCTTGGCATGCTCCGTGCATCTTGGGGTGCCGGCTGCATTTTCATTCTCCCCCTTTAAAATTAAAGATGCTGCACAGCCATAATTAACTCTCAAATTCACATGGGTGTGCTGTGATCAAACGAAGGTTTGCCTGAATCCTTTCAAATTGTAACCATGGTAATTGAGGGGGTGGCACAGAGTGAGTATATAAAAATATGATGACAATTGTTCTGAATGACTGAGTGTCCTCCTGCCTGTAATTAGCTGCCTTGGTGAGATGTGAATTGGCATGGCCATAATTAAAAGGATTTCTGTCCTCTGTGCCATTGAAAGGGGCTGCTCCCCACCCTGTTCCCTTCAGCACGAATGCCCCCCAGAACACTGAGAGCTGCAGCTCAGCAAACTGAAGTAATGACAGGGTGTCTGTCCTCTCCGAAGTGAGTGGAGGATTTGGAGATAATTCAATTTCAAAATGGAAGCCTTTGGGTAGTTCCCCGTTTGACTTCTGAAGTCTCTGAAACCTGCCTCTCGCATCAGTCCCAGCCTGCCCACATGGCATTAGTCAGAGTCCCAACTGCGTCGGCTGAGACAGGCCCTCCTGACCCTCCGTCCTACTTGCCAGCGTCTGCTGTTGGCCTGACCCGAGCCATTTATTGCTTCACCAGCCCCCTAGGGTTTTAAAAATGCCCTTTTTTATATTTCCATGGCCATCTTCATCAGAAAGTCATTATCAAATAGGCATTCACACATGAGCTAAATAGGATTTTCCTCATTGGATCGCATGACACAGACACATAAACTAGCATACATGGGCTTTAACCAGCTGTGAGGCATGAATGGCATCCTGATGTGTGCAATGTCCCTAAGTTTCTGGACCAAGAGGACACACGCGAGATCCACCAAGTTTCCCATCGCTCCTGCACAGGTTAACTACCGCGCTCACATCGGCGGCCTGCAGCCCTCCCTCCGAGCTTCCCCACTGCCGCCTCCCACTCCATCTCCTTCCTCTCTCTTTCCTTCGAGCTGTCCTGCCAGCTCAGGTGGTCCCCGTGCTCCTCCCCTGGCGGAGCTGCAGGTTGCCATCCAGCCTTCCTCTACAGTCTGCTTCCTTCGGCCCTACCCTCGCCTGCAGAATCTACTCCGGTCTATTCCGTGTGCGATCAAGAGCACGTGCACACAAGGCCAGGACTTAACGTCCTGCCCAGGGCCCTGGCCAAGCTGCTTCCTCCCACGGGGCGGGGCCTGCCTGGCCAGCACCGGCCCCACAAAACACTAAAGGGAACCAGCTCTTGCTTCTGTTCTCATATTGCGGCTCATCCTTAAATACATACAGCCTTTCCCCTCTGCACATTCCAGAAGGAATCCTAACCCATGCTGGTTGCTCTTCAGTTTCATGAAATACCTACAGTCAAATGCATAGTTGGGCTCCATCAGGAAAAAGTGCCATATAAGGTTTTTACTCATTGCTTCTCTTCCTATGAGATCTAAACACTGCTGTCAACCCCACCGACACACAACTCGTGTGAAGTCACGAAACTTTTCAGTGGGATCTTGTCCATCTTCTTCAGTTGGAAAGACTGGATTTATGACCCCAAAAAGTATCCCATCCCCCCCTCCCCAGCTACTAAAAGTAACTCGCCGTTAGATTACAGAAACTAGAGTAGAGATGCTTCCTTCTAGATGGAAACACTAGCAAAGCCACATGCAGCCTCACGGAGCCCAGGCCCCCCTGTGACGGCAGCATTTACTGAGCGTCTGTGCTGGGCGCTGCGAGAGGGCCTTCACCGCCTCCTGACCCGCCCTCCTGGGGCTCCTCCATGGGTCCAGGCGAGTCAAGTCTCCATGTGTCCTGCGTCTTGGCAGGGTGGCGTCCGCTGCAGTGCTCTGCGTCAGTCCCTGTTCCGTTTTCTCCTCCGGCCCCGCGGCATCCCCCTGTGCACTTGGTTCCCTGGGACGCCAGACTGTCACCTGATGATCGAGACACCGAGGGCCTCCCCGGGCAGCGGGGCGAGGAGCCTCATGGCTGAGTCTGTGGAGGGGAGGTGTTGCCTTCGCTGGAGAAAGGTCACAGCTGTCTTGGAGCCCCCGTTCCAAGGGGCTGGGGTTTTCAAGCTCCCCTAGGGCAGCTCCAGTTGAGAGCTGCAGGGAATAATCTCTCACTCCCTGTTCCCTCTGTCGAGCTCTTTCAGCCGTTCCCCGGTGCCTGGTGCTTCAGGCAGCCTGCTTGTTGAAAGGTGTCTTGCTAAGCCATTCCACCTCATTCTGCCATCCCTTCTGTCACTGTCCAGAGGGGCTGGGCCAGTGCTTATGTGGACTGGAGGCCCTGCAATCCCAATGTCCCATGTCCGCCCACCCAGCTCCATGGGGTCCTAGTGACCTTGAGTTGTCAGCAAAGCCACACCCAGCCAAGGGGCCGGCTGCCCAGGGTCTGTGTGGCGGCTCACTGAGGACTCCCTCACTAAATCCATGTCCCCCTCTCCCTTCCCCAGGGCCGGTCTGTTCTGATCTGCGCTGTCCTAGGCCTCCATTAAGCCCAAGAGCGTGGAAACCACCCAGGAGCAAGGCCCCGGGGGGGCGGGGGAGGGGCCTGTGTGAGGTCCCCAGGCCAGCTCCCGGGGGCCCTGGTCCCTGTAACAGGGACCTTGTCTCATTGGCCACGGGGTTTTGGTTATCAACACGAAGGGAGAAGGCAGCCACACCTGCCATTTAGGTACCGATCCAGATTGGCATCTTTGGTGGCATTTGGGCACCACTGACATTGTGGAGAGGAGACGCTGACTCCCCTCCAAGGGAACCCATGGCTCACAGCCGGACGGGCCACAGAGCCAGGCTTCCACCAGCTGTGGCTGCTTCCCACCTCTTCCGGGCCCTGCTTCGGCCTCAGGCTTGTTTTCTGGCTTCCTGGGAGCACAGCCACCTCGCCCACTTTGCTTTACTGGAACCAAGAGCCCCGCATACAATAGTGAGGGTCACTTTTCCACTTGGTCATCCACTGAAGCTGTTAAACCAGAAGCAGGGCCTTAGTGCCGCGTGAATGTAAACAGCGGCCTCTGGTGACTGACACTCCACACGCTTTCCCGCCCGCGTCCTGGGGGTGGGCGGCACGGACAGTGGACAGACAAGGGCGAGGGTGCAGCTGTGGCCTCTCAGGAGCATCGCTGCTGGTTGTCTGCCCGAAGCCGCACCTCAGTGTGTTAGTCAGTGACCCCCTGGCACCGCGTCTGAAAAGGGGCTCCGCAAACCAAACCAAAGTTCCAGGTGCGGGCTCTTCGCTGTTGGCTGGTTTTGCAAAAACACTCCTCTTAGAAGGGCCTCTTCTCCTGGTGTTCGCTCTCCCCCATAGCAGCACGTCTGTGCAGCCGGCGCTGGGCCGCACACCTCCCGGAGAGAGGCCTCGCTGGGCCCAGCCCAGACTCACCAGGCTGCCAGGCAGACGCCATCCCTGCCAGATGCCAAGAACATCCCAGTTGCCTCCCCTGGAAGAGCCCACAGCCTTCCCCGACTCCCCACGGGCTCCCCTCTGTGCCATGGCCATGGCCACTGGTATGCGGTACCTTCCAAGCATAAAGTTCTTTATGATTTTTAAGTGCCTAAGCAAGTTACAGACCTCTGGGCCCTGCCCGCCCTCCCCACCCACACTTGGCCCTCAAGGGAAAGCGTGTGGCTGCTGTCCAGGGTCCCAGCTTCTACAAGCAGAACAGCTAAGCCTCCCCCCCCCCCCCAAACACACACACACACCCCATCGGGCTGGCCTGTCACTCCTGTGCTGCTGCTTCAGGGTGTTCCTGTCGATGGGGTCATGGTCTTGGTTCAGAGAGAATGTTGAGGGCCTGCTTAGCAATGGCTGTAGCTGCTGAGGGAAGAGGGTAGGGGAGCAGCAACTTCTGTCGGTAGCTGCCAAGCACATCCAGAACCGAGAGGCCGGAGTGAAGGGATGACGGCTCATTTGCCACCGGGAGGCACCGGGACCCTGGCCCCCGTCCTCCTCCTAGGCTCGAGGTTCAGAGCAGCTGTGCACGGACGGGGCTCGGGGATGACTGCCTCGGCGGGAAGGAGACCAGAAGCGCGTCTTGAAAATGAGTGTGAGATTCTGTGTTTGCTTTTCTCGTTCAGTCTGACCTGGATCAGGGCCTTTATTCCCTCCTCGGTGGGCGCACGGAGGTTCTTCCGTGACCCCTCGCTGTTCACATCTCGGCACTAAGCAATGCTCACGTGGTTTGTTGGTGTGTTAGAAGGTTTTGCAAAATGGAATAATCCATAGCCAGGCACTTTATTTTAATTAATAATCCAACATTTTTGTTCAGACAATGAACAACCCAACCGCTGGGCATCCCTTAACACGGAGGGGCCCCTTTGCCCGAGGGGTTCTCCCGCGTCGGGCAGAGGAGGGGGCGGTGGGTCAAGGATAAACGGGGGTGTTGCCTGGGTGACGTGGCTGCAGGCCTTCCCGGAGGCCACCAGCCTGGATGCGCAGTCGCCGCCCCTCCGTCCTCCAGATGCTATTTTTACAGGTCCTCCCGAGTGCTTGTCAATTACCCGGCTTGTAATTGAGAGAGAGATGAATGTAGGGAGAGTGCAGCGAGCGGGAACAACAGTGCAATGCAATTAGCGGCAGGAAGGGGCCCGGCTTCCTTTCACTTAACTGGACTTGAACTCTGGAGCTTGCGGGGCGCTGGGAGTGTTCCGAGGCGAAGCGGTGTGCAGCTCCGTCTTCCTGGCGCTGCAGGTGGGAAGCAGCTGGCACAGCGCGTGAGCGACGGGCGCGAGCTTGGCCTCCAATGTGACCCGACGCCGCGGGCCCGGGCCTCGGGGCTGCCTGGGAGCTCTTAGCATCCACCAAATACTCGCGTGTCTGCAGGGCCGTCCGGAGCCTCCTGCGGGGCTCTCCTGTGTCTTCGTCTGTGTTTCCCTCTGGCGTCCCAGTCTCTGTCCCCACCTGTGCACCATGTGTCCCCGAGGGGAGTCGCACCTGTGTCTGAGTCTGCTGTAAGGTGTTCAGTCTACCTCAACGGGTCACCATGGTCAGCTCCGCCCCATAGCAGTCCTCCCCACATGGCCACACACACTGGAATGTATATGTGCCCGGCCCTGCCTTCCCCATCAGTAACCTCCTGTCCCCATCTTTCCTGTAATCACCACAAACTCCTAGTGCAAATTGGATGCTGCTTTAAATGTGAAAACAATTGTTCAAAAGCTATAAAACCTGAATGAAAGCTAAAGCTGAATTTATAAGCCTTGTTGCATATGAGCCAAAAGTGCAAAAAGCTCTATATAATGAACTAACCTGCCACTCATATAAATATAAATATATATAAATATATTAAAATCAGACTGTTCTACAAAATTGTGTATTTGTATTTTTGTGTACGTACAATTTTCTGCTAAGCAGAAGGAGGATGTAGTATAGGATGCTGTGAGAAGAGATTTGGTTTAATCCTATTTCTTTGTTACTTATTTTTGTTAACATCAGATGCCTGTCTTCGTCTTCTCTGTGTATGACACTGTTTGGAAAGCTGCAGTATCTCTCTTCCTCAGTCCAGAGTCCGCTAGAGAGTGAAACCTGGGGCTTAGAGTTGCCAGGCCCCACACTCGGTCAGTGGAGCTGCCCGCGGAGCTGCAGTGGGACTGAGGGCCGGCAGGGCCTGGGGAAGCGAGATCCCACTTCCTCTTAGAGATCGGCTTCCAGCAAAAGCGATTGTTAGATCTGTTTACCAGATCCTCCCGCTCAACCAGAGGGGCAGGGGACGCAGGGCCTCTGAGGAGGGGGCTCTGCCTGGCTCCCAGGTCATTGGCCGCCCCGGACCCCTGTCCCTCTGAGTAGTTGCTGCCTTTTTCAGATCAAGTTACCGAAATGCCTCCCTTCTGCTGAGCTGCTGGCGCGTCACCACCCAGCCCTCCAGCAGGCTCCCCGAGCGTCTCAGAACCCCTTTCCCGGTGCTAACACACAAGGCGGGGAAAGTGGCTGCCCATCATGGCCAGAAAGCCCCTCGGGGAGGCCAGGCCGGGAGACAGGCTCCAGGTGCCCAGGGCAGCCAGCCCTTCCTCGGGAGGAAGGCGCCCCACAGCCCTGGCCGCTGACCCCCTGCCCACACCTCAGCCCCACGTGGTCCCCTTGCTGTGAGCCTTCTCCAGGGAGAGTGATACTGCAGCTTCACCTGTGGGACTCATTTATAACAGTGTGTGATGACTGTAGAAGCAGCCCTTGTTTCTAGATGTGAATGGTCCAAGGAACAAGTGCTCTATTGTATTAATTAAAATAGTTCAATGAGTCCTGTATCATTGTATCTCCTATTCTGGATTAGTGCCTTTTGGACAGTAGACTGTTCTGTAATTAAAATGTAGTATATACTGCTTTTTTGTACAGTTTTTGTTTTAATAAAACTTTTTTTTAATTTGTGTTTATTTTAGTATTGTACCTATTAGAGAATAAAATGTATAACTGAACAGACTGGCTGGGATTTCTTTGGGAGAGGAGTGGCCGGCACCGACACGGGTGGGAGCGGTCGGTCTGCTTTAGAAAAAGGGGGGTGCCCCCAGCAACCCAAGGACCGCGAAAGGGTTAAGGTGACAAACTACCCAGTTGAGGGGAAGCTCCTGGATCCTTCCACCTCTGACTCCAGCCAATGTTTTGATTCCTGTCTGCCTGTCCCTTATCCCCATCACCCAGCTTCCCAACCAGACCACCAACCTTCCCGCCATCTGCCACCTCCATCCAGAAGCCCTAGAGTCTAGCACTCTCTCCACCTTTCATGGATTGGGATTGCACTGAGCAGTGCCCCCTGCCCCTCCCTCTCCTGCCAGGACCCAGCGCCTCTTTGCTGGGGCCTCCCCTTCAGCGGCGAAGAGCAAACAGAAGGAAGCTGAGGCTTTGTTCTCTGTGTTTAATCAAAGGTGCCCAATGGTTGGGATCCAGTGTGTAAGCAGGACTCGAGGACACTGCCCAAGCTCTCCTCTCTCCCAACAGAGGATCCATTTACTTCCCCCTCAGAGAAAACCTGAAGAAAACTGCCTGTTTCCTCACTACACATAAGTAGAAAAGACTACGCAAAATTTTAAGCCGCCCCAAACCCGACCTAAACTGCCAGGTGGAAGTGGGCAGATGGGGAGGAGCAGTACTGAGGACACACACTCACCCGGGTTCTGTCCTTCGGACTCCCTGGGAGTTTTCCCCTCCCGTCACCCTTGTCCCTTCATCTCCTCCCAGTCCTCTGTCCCTTTGCCTCTGGGGCTCTCCTGTGGCATCATGCCCCGTGGATGTGCCTCAGAAAAAACTTGCCCGCTCTGTGCACCTAAGACCCGCCAGGACAGGTGTGCGATACTCTGGAGAGATTTGGTGAGTGAGCGAGAGAAATGTGACAAAATCCCCTAGCGCCCATTCTGGGTCTGAGCGACCATAAAGCCCCGCAGCCTGATGCAGACAAAGGAGACCTCATTGAGTTGCAAGAGAGTCAGCAGCAGCTCAGAAAATAAGATTTATCCTAGGAGCTAGATCAATTCTACATTCAGACTCCCGCCTCGGAGCAGCCCAGCTCCTGGCGGCCAAGTTTCTGTCATTCGCTGGCAGTGCTTATCTCTGAGAACAACTCTTGGGCCCTTATGAATACAAACAAGTCCCGCTGAGATGTGCTCTGACTGATGGCCACCTCCCATCAGCCCTCCAAGTGGCTGCAGCCCTGCATTCACAGCACACGAAGGCCAAGTGAGGCCCCGATGCGGGAAGGAGGCAGCTCTGCGCGGGGCCACCAGCAAGTGGGTGTCCCTCCCTGGTGCCAAGCTAAGCCCTCCCAGATCTGAGGGGCTGGGCTGATGTCTCCAGAGCTGCTGGGAACCCACACTGGGTGCCAGGACTTGAGGAGGTTGCCCTCGTGGGCAAGCAGGCCCCCAACAACCACCATTGGGCTCCACAGCCTGTGGGAGGAGGCCCAGCACAGACAGCGTGCATCCACAGCCAAAACCTCCTCCCTCCCCAAACACCTTGCTGCAGAACCTTCAACGTCAACCCACCTGTGCGGCAGTGGCAAGGAGCCTCTACTCCTCGGCTGGGGGTCTGGCTGGCCTGGGTCCAGTTCCACAGATCGAGGCAGGTGTGCCCTGAGAGCTGGACATCCCTGCCCCAGTGACCCCTCTACTCCCAGGCCAGCTGTCCCGTCATCCCCAGAAGCTCCAGTTACCTTGGGTCTAAGGCCAACAGAAAGTTCCTATTGGTTCCTGGCTCCTGTAAGAAGCCTCAACCTAAGACTGTTCATAGAACCACCTGGGCCTTCCTGGGCCTTGAATCCATATGACAGAGAGCACAGCGGCCAGGGAGGTGAGCACCGGGGAGGTGAGCATGGGCTGAGGAGCGGAGCTGAGCTGGGGACCGGCTGCTTCCCTGGACCTCCCCCTCCAGGCTACATGCGAAAAGCCGACCTCAACCACTCAGAACCCTACCACCTGATACCTGGGAAACCGTCTAGAGGAGCCCAAACACCCCCACGTCAGGGTGTGGGAGGGAAAAGCAACAAGACTGGCCTCAGACTTAGGCATGAAATCATCGGATTTTATTTAGAAGCAGCTGGTCCTAGGGTGGAAAGGCATGTATGGTACAAAATTACAGAGGCTTAGTTCATTATACAATACAAACCATCACGTCTTTACAATTTATTATAGTCTTTGGGTTTTCTTAAACTCCCATTTCCTGTGTAACAAATCAATGTACTCTCCCATCAACTCCCTTCTTTACAGGTGAGCCCATCATATTTACAGAACTCCACACACACAGGGCCCAAGGCTCCCCAGTGGAAACTGCCGACGGCGGGCAGAAGGCACGGTGGACTTGGAGGAGGGAGCGATGCATGTGGGGGGCAGTCAAGTCGGTGTCTTGGGCATAAAACATGCTGCGCCCCGGTCCCCACAGTAAGGCACGACAGACAGCCGGAGGCGGCCGTGGGGCTGAAGGCACCTTGAGCTGTGGGCCCAGGCAGGCCTCGGCCAGGGAAGGACACACATGGACTTCTGGTCAATCCCGCAAACGGGACTTTAAGGCGGGAGGAGGAATGTAAGGAGTCAGGGGGTATCGGAACACTGTGGGAGCTCCCATTCACAGCTCATTCTCTCCCAGGCTCCTCATGGCTGGCCCCAGTCACACTACTAGTTGTTTTCTGCCCTCCTGCACCCTCTGGCCAGGCTGGGCATCAGGGCAGCCGCCCCCCACTGTCCTTGGTCCCCTAGGGATGAGGGCTGGCAGTGCAGAGAGGGGCAGAGGCCAGGAAGGTCCCACAGTGTCTGCCCGGGGTATTTGTGTGGAACCACAGCCTCGTAGGGCAACACTGGCACGTCCTTACTGGCCCCAGCTTCCCCACCCGCCGTCACACTAAATCCCAACACCGGGACCTGCTAGGAACTGTGTCTCAAACCCTAACGCTGACACTGTTTAAAACCAGGCCCGATGATTAGGAAGGCGAGAAAGAAGACAGATGAGGGTCCTCCCCCGGGCCTGGTCCTCACACCTCTCTCAGGCCCACAGCATCGGCCGATGCCCGCTGGGCCGCGGGGATGGTCTGAGTCTACTGCACACACTGTCATCCCAAGCCACCTCAGTCTGCACTGAGGCACAAGAGTGAGACGGAGCCTGGAGGGGCAGGCTCCTCACCACACACACAGCCGCCAGGAGGTGGACTGACCGTGACACAGCCACGACGCCCACACCCGGTGGCACTCCCCGCACAAGCCATTGGCGCACGGGCCCTGCAGGGACCAGGACCCCACACCCTGACCGCGAGGACTCAGCACGGCCCCAAGCGACCACGCTGCTTTCTGACAGCGATGGGGAGCCAGGGGCCAACACGCCCACCCCCCTGGCCAAGGCACCAGCGGGGACGTCTCCCAACATGGCCAGGACGGCCCACAGGCTGGCTCTGACGGCGGCCAGTGAGCGCTGGGACGTGCTCTCCCCAGGAGGCGCCTGGAGCCCTCGCCCCACCACCACCACCACAGCTGGAGCCCGGCGTCTGCCCCAACTCTGGTCAGTGCTCAGTCTCCGGGCGCTTCATTCAGGGCGAGGCCGAGGGGACCCCGCAGGCCACAAGGAAACACTGCCTCCCGGAGGGTGGAGCGGGGGGGGGGGGGGGGGGGGGCAGGAGATGGTTTGGGAGAAAGAGAAGGAGGTCCCAAATCTCCTTGGGGACAGGCTGACGGACTGGACCACTCACGGTTCTCCCGCTGTTACAGCTCCAGCCAACAAACCCGCCGGGCCAGCCGTTCCACTGTCTCCCCGTTTTAATTAAACCGGAGGACAGGGAGCAGGACCCCCTCACCTGTGGACCTTGCCAGGCAGCTGCCCCAGTTTCCAGAGCCCAAGTAGGCGAGTCACACACCCACACCTTCCATCCCCAGTGTCTCCCCCAGCAAGCTGGTGCAGGGCCCCAGGGAGAGGGAGGGCGGGGGGGGGGGGGGGGAGGGCCGCACGGATGGCGGCCCCGAGGAACTCCTGACAGAACCCCGGAGAAGGTGCTGGAGGTGGAGGAGGAAGCGCGGGGTGGGGCCCCACAGGCCCGCGACGCCCCGTGGGGAGGAGGCTGGGGAGTCCCTGCGGCCCGGGGAGGGCAAAGCCCGGGTCCTGGTGCCTGTGTCTGGGGCCCGGACTAGAGAAACAGACACCTACCTCCCAGGCCAGGGCCGTGTGGACAAGCACAGGACGCCGAGGGCAGCCGCGCGGAGCTGACTGCTGGGCCAGGCGGGTCCTCGCGAGAAGTGTGCGAGGGGTTAGATGGGTAGAACCTGGGCCGGCCGGGCGGGCGGGGGGTTAGATGGGAAGAACCTGGGCCGGCGGGCGGGGGGTTAGATGGGTAGAACCTGGGCCGGGCGGGGGGTTAGATGGGTAGAACCTGGGCCGGGCGGGCGGGCGGGGGGTTAGATGGGTAGAACCTGGGCCGGCGGGCGGGGGGTTAGATGGGTAGAACCTGGGCCGGCGGGGCGGGCCGGGGATGGGAGGGATGGAGGGCCGGGCAGTCTGCCCCCCGGGATAGTGCGAGCCCAGGTGGGGTCAGGAGCTGGAGCTTCTGCAAAGGAAAAGTCACGGAGCTTCCCCTGCTTCCGCCTGGTCCCTAAGAGACAGTTCCTTCGGTTCTAGGACCGGAATATGGGCTGAAATAAAGCGGCGTGAGGGGCGTGCCCATGGCCCCTGGCCCCTGCGTGTGACACGCGGCAGCGGCTGCTCCGGGCGCGCCGAGGTCTCAGGGCCAGGGAGCAGGGTAGACGGGCAGCCTGAGCCCATTCCCCCTGCACCTCCCCAGCTGTGCTGTGGGCCCGGCTGAGAGGCTGGGCGTCTCCACGAGGAGTTGGTTACTAGGAGCTAATCAGCCCCAGCCTCTTCCCCGTGGGTCTGAGCTCGCGGAGGGGTGTGGTGTGGTGTGTGTGTGTGTGTGTGTGTGTGTGTGTGTTGGGGGGGGGGGTCCTGAGCAGCTCCCCCGGGGGCAGGAAACCAGGCGCTACTCACTGGGGAGCTTCAACGCCCTAGAAAACCGGGGGCTTTTTAAATAAGAGCTTTCCGGGTGTTTTCAGAGTCCACACATGAAGCAGGCAGCCAGGAGCGCAGTGTGCACCCCAGACCGGAAGCCTGGGTGGCGGTCACAGCGGGATCAGCACCGGCCACGGGGCTCCCCTCGGAGGAGCAGCCAGCAGCTCGGCCAGGCCGGCCCGGGGGACGGAGGAGCAGCGCCCTGGGAGGCCCGGGCTGTCAGGCCGTCAGGCCGTCAGGGTGTCAGGCTGTCAGGGTGTGGAGTACAGAATTGCCACGAAGTTACACTGGCCGAGGGGCCTCCCCCGGAACCAGAATTGCACCAAATACGGCCAGGGCGCCTCTGGCTGGCTTTGTCACTGAGGCAGAAGCTCAGAGTAAGGCCACTGTGAGTCTCTGTTAGAGGGACGTGAGGCGGGGTCATCCTCGGGCCCAGGCACTCGCACCTGGGCAGTGGATTGTGACTCGCGAATAATTTCGGATTTTGAAAAATAAATATAAATAAATAGATTCCAGACACTGTTGAGGGAATAAATGGAAAAGAGAAAACTTCCCAGGTGTGACGATGCTAAGACACCCACAGGGAAGACGGAGAAGCCCTGTGGCGAGGACCAGGGAACGGGGCGGTCTCGGGCTGGCCGGGGACCGGGGCCCAGAAGCTCGGGCGCCAGGAGGCACTTCGGGGGGTACTTGGTGCGAGGAGCCCGGGGGACAAGCCGGCCGTGGGCGGGTGTGGGGGAGGCTCTGCCTCTGCGGCGGAAGGCACCGGTCAGGGCTATTATTTAAGTTAGGAGGTTAACGGTGTTGCCAGAGCAGAAAAAGAGCAGCAGCCCCAGGTGGGAAGAGCCCGCGACCAGGGGACGGAGAGGGCGGCCCCTCCCCATCAGCCAGGGCCACTCTGGGCTCCTAGGACCTTCCCCGCCACCCTGTGGCCCGGCCCCTCCTCCTCCTCCTCCTCCTCCTCCGCCTCCGCCTCCGCCGCCACCTGGGTCCTGGGAGAAACGGGGTCACCAGCCTCCCCTCGCGGATGGCGGAAAAGCCTTCACGGCCCGCTCCCAGGGCCGGCGTGAGGGGCTGCGGCCTCCAGCTCCCGGCGGGCGGTCCGCGGTCAGAGTCCACGCGCGGCCTCAGCTGGCCCAGGACTTGCGGTCCTCGGGGTTCCTGGGGCTCCTGTCCGCCCGCGGGCCCTCGGCGCCGTCGGCCTTGGCCAGAGCCGCCGTCAGGGAGGCCAGGTTGGAGGCGGAGCCGGAGAGGGCGCTGCTCCTGCGGGGCTCGGGGGCGCCCTGCAGCCGGAGCCCCGCGCTGCGCCGCCGGGCCGCCCCCGCCGCCCTGCGCACCCGGGCCGGCCGCACCAGCAGCCCGTAGCCGGGGTTGCACTTGAAGTACTGCTTCCCTCCGATGGAGCCGTCGTTCTTACCTGAGGGAGAGGAAGAGAGTTGGAGAGAGGGGTCCGACAGCGCAAAGCGCACAGCCCCAAGGCCCGGCCCGGGGGGCCGCCCAGGCCCACCCTCTAACAAGGGCGCTCAGGGAGCACCGAGGCCTCCGCTCACGTGCCAGCCCAGAGCCCGCCCCACTCCGGCGCAGGCTGTTCCCAATCCGGTGGACTATGTAATGTCTCCAGAGCCGATAGATGAGTAAAAATGCTTTGAGGTGAAGGGTGAGAACACAGCAGGGGGTAGGGTTTGGTGAGGGGATTGGGGTGGGGGCGAGGGCGGGGTGAACCTGAACAAAGCGACCAGCCTGACCCCCAATGGTGATGGAGGGGTGGAGAACACGATCTTTGTAGAAAAACGGTCACACGTTTATATACTCTCACTGTCTGCAGGCCCTAACATGGTCTCTCTCTACCACCGCCAGCTCCCCAGGCCCACAGGGATCACCTCCCACTCTGGCCGCTGTCACCACTGGGCTCCTGGTCACACTCCCACCTCCCTCTCACTGGCTCCCGGGTGCTCCCAGGGCCTGGGGCTGGGCCCTCTCCCCCCTGCACACCGATGCCTCTGAGCTGCGCCTCCAGACCCAGAGCGGCCCCTCTGACATCTGGTCTCCACTGGTGTCCAACCGGCACCTCCAGCCCCACCTCCCAACAGAACTCCGGTTCCCCTGCCCTGCGCCCGCCCTGCTCTTGGCTCTTCCACCCGCAGGACCTGGCCTCGGCCACACTCAGGTGTCGCCTGGCTCCTTTCTGCCCGACATTCTACCACCCTCAGGCCCGGGGCTTCCGGACTCTCCCGGCCTGGACACCGGCACAGCCTCCTACTGGCTTTCCTGTTCCTGCTCCTCATCCCAAGTCTATTCTCCTATAAAAAAAAAAAAAAAAAAAAAAAAAAAAGTCTTTTTAAACCCTTCGATTCTTTCCCCTTCAAGAACTGGCTGCCCCACCACTCCAGTCTCCCGGCCGGTCTTTGGAGTCCCCCTCAAACGCTGTGAGCTGGTTCCCGTGTGGAGCTTGTGCCCGAGGTGCCTTTGGCCTGTCGTTCCCCCTCCCCCAGCTTCCTCCTTTGTATCACTCATGCCTTCGCTCCCTCAGTATTAAAGTGTCCCACACCCACCACCCTCCATCTGCTGAGCCCATTTTATTTTCCTCACAGCACTTACTCCCATCGGAGTTTATTGACTTGTTTACAATTATCTCCCTCTCAAAGAAAAGTCCAGTGAAACCAGGCACTTTGTTCTGCTCAGAATCCAGGACAGTAGGTGCCTGATATTTATTTGTGGGATGAATTCATCTATTTGCTAATTTCCCTCTAATTCTTAATTTGATTGCAAATACAAACTTCTTTCCCAATTCCTGTTTGCATTTCAGCAGAAATGGAATTTAAAAAATACTCCAGCCTGTGCTACAATAATCTTCTGGAACCACTTCCGATTTATGATAGTCTTTGCCAAAATTAAAGACAGTGAGTGATTTCATAGCTGAGCTGAGGGGCCCAGAGACAGAGTCAGTGTGGGGCAGGCCTGGGTGTCACGGAGCAAAGCACCCCAACTCTCCCTCTGTCACCCGCCCCACCCCCCACCCCCAGGAGAGCTTTCTCCTTTCCACTCATCTACACAGGCCACACACCTCCCTCCTAAGCCCATCACGGCGCACCCAGCCCTCACCCAGGGAAGGGGCTGCCCACCCTGCCCCCGAGCACACTGCTGGGGGCGGGAGCACGGAGATCAGGCTGGCTGTCCCCAACGTGCTAAACGCAGTTAATGCCGGGATCTGCTCGAGAGAAATGAAAGCGATCCTCACAAAACTGAAACACGAGTGTTCCCAGCAGGAGTATTCACACAGAAACAAACAGTGGAAACAAGCCGGAGTGAACACAATGAGTCACACCCCCCGTTGGGTCAGCCTGGGAAACACTGTCCAGGGAGATCAGCCGGACACAGACGCCCACATTTTGTGGGATTCCACTTACATGCAAGTCCAGGCTTAAAACGTTTTGTAGTGGGAAGTAGATGAATGGTTACCTAGGGTTTCGGGGGAGGGGAGAGTGTGAATGACAGACATGCAGCTGTTTGGGGGTGATGAACCTGGTCTAAGTTAGATAATGGAAATGGGAACACAACTTGGTTAGTATGCTAGGAACCACTGAACTGTACACTGCAAACAAGGGGGTTTGATGGGTATAAATGACTCACATTAGAGATGTTTTAATAAAACACCCAAAGAACAAATTGCATCCTTAAATCCGGCCTGTGTTTCCGAGAGTGAGGACCCGCCGCTGTGAGCTGGACCACTCTGGCTGGCAGCGGGTCTCCCATCACCGTGTCACCTGGTCCTAGCTGTGGGCCCAGGGCTCTGTGATGTCCGGGCCCCACTGGGTCCGCAGGCTCAGGAGTGTGACCTGAGCCAGCACGGCAGGTGCAGCTCCTGTTACCGTTCAGCTGCAAGTGCTTCTGTGACTAACGAAATCACGGCATTTAAATTCATTACTATGTTTATAGTAGCCTTCAATCAATGTCTTGCGTTTTCTGAGAAACTCTAATAAAAAGGGAACCTGACTCTTACAATGCTTTGGGAAAGCTTATCTAGGAAAAAAAAAAGCCTCATTTTAAAAAGGGGTGACTCCCAAAGCTCAGAAGTCCAATAATGTGCTAAGGGCATACAGCCAGCTTCTGGTAGGGCAGGGGCAGGGGCAGGGGCAGGGGCAGGGCAGAGGACAGGAGGGGCGGGGCAGGGCAGGGCAGGGCAGAGCAGCCCCAGTGCTCGGGACGTCCTGACAGGCGGCACTCACCTGAGGGTAAGTCGAGCTCCACGCCGACCCACGTCCCCTCCTGGAAGTCGGTGGGCCCGATGTACCTCACGATGCCCCCCTTGTTGGCGCCCACGGTGACATACTCTCCCTCGCGGAGCCACTCGGGCACTTCGCTGGCTTCCTCAGAATCGGAGGACACTTCCAGCTTCTCCAGGGCCTGGCCCCCAGCGCTGCCGTCGCCGGGCCCTCCTGCGGCCCGCGGGTCCTCCTCGCCGGGGCAGCCGGGGTCCCCGCCCAGCATGCGCGTGAAGGACTTCAGCTCCGAGGTCCGCACCTTGCGGATCCTGAACGGGGAGGCTGGAGCGGGCGACTGGGACAGGAGGTCAGGCGCCAGCTGTGGTTTGGGGACCGGCTCTGAGCTGGCGGCTGGCCGGGCCTGGTCCTTGGGTCCTCCTGGCGGCTTGCTGGCAGGGGAACTGTCGCCCCCGCTCTGCCGGCTGGGAGACTCCTGGGGGGCGGGAGGGGGCAGAGGAGCTGGCGAAGTGCCTGCTTCTTCATCCTGCCTCTCTGAGGACCCTGCTCCCCGGGCCGGGGCCCCTCTGTCACCGTCACTCTGCAGAGTCTGCTTTGCTGGGACAGGAGGTGACAGAAGGCTGGTCTGTCCCGCCGGCGAGGCAGGGAGGGCGCTGTCAGCTCCAGGGGCAGGCTCAGCCTCCGGGCCAGCCTGGCAGGGGACAGGGGGGACAGGAGGGGGCGAGCCGGGCGTCTGCCCACCTGCCTGGGCCGCAGCATCCAGGCCGGGGGCCAAGGCCTCTGACAGCGTGGCGGTGGAGACGCTGTGAGAGAAGTACCCGCTGGAGGCCTCGCTCACGGGGCTGGGCAGCCCATCCTGCACGTCGGGGGCCTGGGCGTTGGTGGCCGGGCACTGTGGCGAAGGCACCTCGGTGGGTTTGTCCTGGGTCTTCACCGCGGGGGCAGTCTGCACCGTCACGTCTGGGGCCACACTCAGCCCCGTTTTCTCTCGGGGAGCCTGGAGCAGGAAAGGGGAAGTGAATCTGGTTAGAAGTCAAGGCCAGCCAATCACCTCCACGGGGCTGCGAGGTTAGTGTGACCTCCCAGCGCTGATGGAGAAGGGGGTGCTGCGGGGAGGGGGGGCAGCCTGGCTGCAGCGTCAGCTCCACCCCTCTCCTCCTGTGACCCGAGGGCCCTGCTGAGCTCTGAGTGCGCCGAGAGCCCAGTGAGCACCTGGGGCCTGCCCCCACCACCTCCTCACCTGCTACATCGAGATTCTGAGATGCTGTGATCCTGTGACTTATAATAAATATATATTTGGTCATCATCCCCATTTTTGGCCCAGAGCTCTTGCTAAAACCCTTAGAATTCTCTGACAAGAGGGATAAAGATGTCTTGATATTCAGAACCAGCCCCTTCCAACAACTCCTGAGTTTAGGTTAGTAAAGTGACTTTTAGAAATCCCCTGAGGAAGGGGGTTGGTTGCCAGGAGAACCAAGCATGCTCAGAGGGCTGCAACTCTCAGCCCCACCTGATTTCGGGGGAGTAGAAAGGGGCTAGAGGCCGAGTCAATGGCCAGTGATTTAACCAGCCACCCCTCTGTAATGAAACCTCCGAAAACACCCGACAGGACCGCTGTGGCGAGTTTCTGGGGTGGTGAGCGCATGGGGGTGTGAGGTGTGTTGTGCTCGGTGTGTGGAAGCTTTGCATCTCTCCCCACACCCTGTCCTGCGCTTCTCTTCCTCTGGCTGCTCCTGAGATATATCCTTTTATAACAAACTGGTAACCAGTAAGTAAAACGTGTCTCTGAATTTGCGGGCAGCTCTAGCTAATTAATCAAGCCCAAGGAGGGCTCCTGGGAACCTCGATTTACAGCTAGACACTCAGAAGTGCAGCTGACAACCTGGACTCGTGACTAGAGCCGAAGGGGAGGGCGCCTGGTGGGACTGAGGCCTTCGCCTGGGGAGCTGCCGCTACCAGGTGGAGCTGAACCCACGGACACCCCGCTGGTGTGGGCAACAACACATATGGGGCTGCCCCGGGGGGTGGGGGTGGTACAAGGCAGGCACGGCCTCACCACAGAGCGTGGCACACAGTAGGTGCACACCACCATCTCCATCCCCGCATCCCCCCAGCGGGAGTCCCTGCCTCCCTGAACCCAGACGAAGAACTTTGCTCCCGGGGAAACAGAAGCCCTGCCACCGACTTCCCAGCGCGTCTGAGGGCATCACTAGAGGCCAGAACCCTTTTCCTGCAAAGTGGAGCCGATGATGTCACTGCAGCACCTGAAAGGCTTCAGTTCGGCTTCACCAGGAAGGGCTCTGGGTCTGCTCTGGCTGAGGAGCTGAGGGAGACGGGCTGCCTGCAGGCGCACCCTCTCCCTGAGCGCCCCACCCCCCAGGCCGCCATTCAGGCTGCTGCCGAGGGCTGGTCCCATGTCACAGCCAGGAGCCCTCGGGTCCCAGGAGACAGCAGCCAGGCAGCAGCCGGCCCCACGAGGGGCGTGAGGACGGGGCCGGAGGCGGCCTCTCCGCTCACACAGAGCCCCGTCTCGGGGAATGACGAGGCCGAGGCTCACCCGAACTGGCTGTTTCATCCTCGGGGTGTTTTCGGGGATAGCTTAAGTCACCTGAAGAAGGTGGCAGGTTATCTTTGTATCCCCAGTTCACAATGACAGGGGAAAGGAGACGGCGGGAGTGGGGATGCGGTCGGGGAGGTGGAGAGGGTGCTGCTCACAGAAAAGAAATATGTTTTCCAATATTTACGGAAAGATTATTTATCTTACAGGAATGGCCATTTTCCATTTGAAATACAGGATTTATTTGAACGGGGAAACAGCTGAGATCTATAAGTCTCTTACAGTCACTTGGCTTAACTCAGCAGTTTGATAAATCACGCGCTTCCACGTGGCTCGTCATTTATATTCCTGTCTCCAGAGGCCCTCCTTCCCCACAAGGCACACTCTCGGGGTACGAAATTAACGGCACCTCCCAAGATTAACAGCCCATTTTTGTGATGGATCTCTAGGCTGCAAAATTTACTAAATCCGATAGATCAATAACTGTCACCAGCATAAATACTCTAAAAGATTAGGCAATCCTTCAATCACTTTTCTTTTGCAACTTGTACATGTTTTATTTATCCTTTTATTTTTAACATCAGCGGCCGGGCAGGGAAGAATACAGGCACAAAGCACCCGGGTCTGGAGTGGGAGCCATCCCTGTGGCCCTGAGAGAGGGCGTGTCCCCGGCTCCAGTGAGGAGCCCCTCTCTGCCAGGGCCGGCAGGTCCTGTCCTGAGGAGGTGACACTAGGGACAGGGCCCTGATGCCCCTGGTGTTAGCCTATTTGCTCCCACACGCGTTCTTTGAGGCAGGCCATGGTCACTGTACAGCATGGCCCAGAGAGGCGGAGCCCACCCAGAGCCGCCGGTGAGCGAAGCACTGGCTCGGGCGGTCAGACCCTCAGCCACAGCGAGAGAGACAGGGGGAGGGGGCTGATTGCTGCTTTCCTTCCCGCTGAGCGAGGCGGCAGCCTCTCCTTCCGTCCGCTCCGCAGGCAGCCGCTCCCACTTGACTGGAGTTGATGTGAGTGGAAGCCCGTCTGCCATCGCTGGGTCTTACCCTCCCCAGTGACATTTCGGGGGGCTGCCACGGAAGCCTCGGCTGGAGAAGCACCGTGAGGAGCAGCAGGGCTGCCCAGGGGCAGAGGCGGTGCCACGCCAGGTGCCCCGCCCGCAGGGGACTCCTTCCCACTGGGTCCCACTGGCCTCGCTGCCCGGTCCTGCCTCGGCAGCAATGACAAGCATTCTCCACGGGAGGGGCCGTGGTGTGTCTGCAGTTAAACTCAGGATGCCCCGGGCACTGACTGGAAGGGCCTTTTAGAAAGAAGTGGATTCATGAGGCCTGAGTTTCCTTTCCAATTATTCGGCTTTTGCTGTTGTTTTAATAAATAAAATTTCCCTATGAAGAGATGGCATTTCCTGAGAGTGAGCGCACAGTGGGAGAAAATAGACCTGCTATTCATAAGGCGAGAAGTGTTGTTCATCTGCAGGAGATCATAAGAGGCCGCTCCCTCCCAGCTTAGCATTCGTCTTTTCACGCTGATCCGCGGATCAGGATGAAATGCAAAACTGAGAATTAAGCACACACTTAGAATAAGGAGGTTGCTCTGTTTATAGAACTCGCCTCGCCTGGCGGTGGGCTATTAAAGCAGCAGACGACAGCAGCAGCCAAGCACCTCAAAGTTTAGCAATCATATGATTAACAAGTTGGAAATAGCAAGTGTAACAGAAAAATAGAGAGGGAGAAAACCATGGCCTCTATTGTGGTTAATGATCAAAATGGAAATGCTAGAATTAAACCACCACAGTGTGGCCTCAACGCTCACAGCATCGGGCCACCCACCAGCCAGGCGCCCCGACCCGCTGACTCACCTCCGCCACCCTGGGCGTCCGGGGGTCCGGGAGGGCGGGCTGCACCGTGATGCGGGGCACCGGCTGAGGAGACAAGTGGACGGGCGGGCGTGAGAGATCAAGAACAGAACAGACAGCCAGAGAGTTTCCGCTGCACACACAGCAGAGCCCGCCAACTGTCAGGAATTCCAACAAGTCATGGCCAATCAGGCCTGCCTAGAGCGAGGGGCGCCACACTCTCCACAGACACGGAAGAAATAAGGAGCAGAACCAGCAGCTCCCGAGCCTCCATCTTGCAACCCAAATAGGGGCTGACACCCGCAATGCACGCCATGGCTCCGACGCGGCTCCCCTCCCGTCCTCACACACGGCTGTGGCTGTACACATCGCGTCTCAGGACTCTGGGGAGAAGTGACTGGGACAGGAAAGACCAGGAGAGGCTGCAGCAGGAGGTGGCACTCAAACCAAGCCTCTGTGGCCCAGGAAACTCACGGAGTAAAAGGAAGCTGACGAGTAGCCACGGGATGCGAGGTTCAGGGAATCCAGGCCGGAGCATAGCTCTGGGCACAGACAGAGCAGGAGAGGGAGCGTGAGAGCGGCTTCGGGATGAAACTATCCTCATCGGGTAACTGAGAGGAGAGTGTGGAGGGTGAGGACAAGGATCTGGTAGTGGGAGGCAAACTGGCTGGTGAAAATATTTAAAGACCAAAGTAGGCAAATCCCTAGTGAGACTCCAGCAACAGAGCAGGTGTGAGTGAGTGACTGGGGCCTGAATAAGAGGTGCAAGCAACATCACAAGAAAGGCCTTTGGTACATGTGGGCACGCCATTGAGGTAGCGTTTAAAGAAAAGAATGAAGAAATAACTCGCACCAGGACCAGGAGAGGGGGTGTCAGAGGAAGGAGACGAGGCAGAAACTCACTCGGCAGCGGCTGGTTCACAAGGGCAGTGGGACTGCAGAGGGGATAGGACTGTCTCCAAGAGGCAGGAATCCACCGCTTCTGCCTTCTTCCCTCAACAAAGCCGCTCCCCTCCCAGGTCCCCCTGCTCCCATGCAGGAGCCGGGACCTCGGAATGCCCAGTTCTAAGAGGGCCCCATCCTGGCAGAACAAACCGGGCTCCGAGTCTTCCCTCACACGGGAAGTGAACGTTGACATTGGTTTGCGTGCAGTAGGAATGTCCAGAAGAGAAGCAGATGGTCACTGACCTACTGGTTCCATATCCCTCCATCTCCCTTCTCCCGAGCACTCAGGTCCTCCCTGTGGTGTCTCTGGGTGTCTGAAGCTCCTATGCCGCTGACTCTCCCTGGACAGAGTCTGAGGACACTAAGGCTGGGCGGCCAAAGTCTTGCTTCCTACCAAGCAGGCCAACCTCTTGGGACAAAATGGCTCAGTGAGGGTGGGGGTGGCCTGAGCTCACAGTACCAGGTCACTGCTTCCTGCAAAGATACTAAGTAGCCCTCAGGCCTTGGGGCTGGTTGGGGAGCAAAGTGCTAGAGGGAGCCTTTCTGCTGGAGGTAAGACCTGAGAAGAGGCACAGAGTGGAGGCGATGGAGTGGGAACTGGCAGGAGACAAGGCTCAGCAGATGGAAGGACCCAGGGACAAGAAGGAAACACGCTTCACCTGCAGACACGGGAGCTCCTGGGCTGCAGGCCAGGGACCAGAGTCAGAGTTGTGTGTAAGAAAGACCCTGGGGATGGCAACAGGATGGACGAGGGAGGATCCCCTGGGGCAGCAACTGCACAAGGAGAGGGCACTCCACTCCTAGGGCACATAACCCTTCCCTCTCCCAAAGCCCCGCCTGGCCCTCCTCTGCTGCCAGCAGCGTGCCCATGGAGTGTGTCCAAGCCCCCCCCCCCCCAACAGCCCTCCGCTGCCAGCCGCTCTCTCAGGCTCACGGTCCCCATGTTATCTGAAGTCTCCCACAAGTGGGAAGGTGTTCAGAGCGTATTTCTTAGTACACGTAGAGAAAACATTCCTTAAGTTTGAGCTCCAAAATGCTTTCATTCTTTAGTTAGGTCTCATTTAAAATAGATGAGATTGGGAGGAAACATTCCCCCTTAATGTATAAAAATGATACCAATGATGGAACGTAAGCACTGCAATGAAACCTCTTCTAATATGATGTAACTCCTGCCCTCCCAAATGAAGCAGAGAGACATAATTTACACTTTTCTTTATGACTCAGAGTAATTACAAAATTCCAGTAAACGCGTAAAAAATATTAGCTGAAATGAATTAGAGGACCAGATGCTCTGACACGATGCAGGGACCCGGAGGACCACCGGGGCTCCTGGTGCCCTGACTCCAGGGCTCCGGGCTGCGAGGCTGAGAGCCTCCCGGCTGCCCTCAAGGGATTCCTGTCGCCATCACTCACGCTCAGTGGCCACTTCCTAATCGGGCAGAATGTTTCATAAAAAAGCCAGCGACCCCCATTCAGAAAAAATGTGAACCAGAACAAGAATAACTGAAATGGGCGGAGACCGGTTTGGCTCAATGGATAGAGCGTCGGCTTGGGGACTGAAGGGTCCCGGGTCCGATTCCAGTCAAGGGCATGTGCCTTGGTTGCGGGCATATCCCCAGTAGGGGGTGTGCAGGAGGCAGCTGACCAATGACTCTCTCTCATTTATGTTTCTAACTCTCTCTCTCCCTTCCTCTCTGTACAAAATCAATAAAATATATTAAAAAAAAAAAAAAGAATGACTGAAATGGCTAAAAATGATGTCAAAACTTAGGTCAGATCAGGTCGGAGTGGGTCAGGAGCATTATGACAATACATGGGCCACACCCACTCCTCCCACCCATATACCAGCAGCTTGGGGTGCCTCCCTCTTGGGGGAGGTGCTAGGCAGTGGTGTCTGCCAGATTCCAGCTCTGGACAAGCGGGGTCACAGAAAGATTCTTCTCCAACAGAGGATGTCTGACAGGGCAATGCTCGTGAGAGAGGGGTACAGACACAGGAGACTGGCCACATACTCATTCTTATCGAAGCTGGGTGACAGGTACATAGATTCATCACAGGACCCTCTCTGCTCTGTCCATGTCAAATTTCCGCCCTACATGAAGAAGGTGACGGGCTGAGTCACTGTAAACTTCCTTTTAACAAGGATATGGCAGGTTCCACCGTGACCAGGCGTTAGTAGCAATGACACCAAGGAGAACACAGAGATCAGAAAGGCATGGACTTTGCTCTCTACAGACTAACAGGCTCATTATGGGAAGGACGTGTGTGTAAGTAAAATGTCAAGAAACAGGACAGATACTAGAATGGACTTTTTGAAGAGAGAAGGATCTAGATTGGCCAGCACTGAGCAGAGGGAAGGAAGGCAGGGGCCATGTAGAGAGGCCTTGCGAGCACATGGTTGATTTTCACAGGCAGGAAAGAGTAACCAAAGGTTCCTGAATGAGATGGTCATCAGAGCTGTGCCTACGGAAGATGAATCCCTAAATAGGGGAGATAACAAAATGTGGGGAAATCAACGAAGAAATTGCTTTAATGGTTTGGTGGAGAGCTAAAGAGAGAGCCTGAATTTGTGTAGTAAGAGGAAAAGATAATAGAAATAAAAATTTAGATATATAAAGGAGACTGTTGAATACTTGAAAACAGTTGGCTAAAGGTGAAGGAAACAGAGTCAAAGATGATGCATAGGAAGTTGGTGACAGTGAAATTAGCAGAAATTAGAAATCAGTTTCTAAGCTCTTCCTGGCTTGTTGAGCGTGTGTGCACGCATGCAGGGGTGGGCGGTACTTAGCCTTCTATTTTTGGAAATGGCCCGTGATTAATTCAGCAACCTTATTAAGGGCACCAAAAATACCTACAAAGTATACTGAAATCTACAGTGTGCCATTTGTCCTTCACACATAACAGCTCAAATTTCCAAATGTGTATTGTTTGCATTTTAATGCTATTTTGCATATCCCCTGTGCAGGCAGTTGCCTCCTATTTCAGGAGCTCAAAACATTTCAGATCATAAGCTCATTAATCCTTACGACACATCTGGTAACTATTAATAAAAATGACTGCAAAGTATTTTGAGCTATAAATATTAAGGAGAAGTCCCATGAGGCCAGTGAATATAGTATAATTATCTACATTTCATAGCAAGAAATCAAGGCTCAGAGATATTTACCTAATGGTTAAATGCAGTCGGGCAGCCCTGTGAGTTAGTGACAGAGATGGAAAAGGACTGAGTTTTAAGCACCAGGTAAACTCGCAATCATGCCTTCCACTGGGCATTACTAAAACTTAACCAATGGGTAGGTTACAGGCAAAAGAATTGCTTTGAAATATTCCAGGGGAAAGATGATAATCACTTCTCGTATCCTATCTCGTCATTTTTAACTCTGGCTTTCACAGGCCAAATGAATGAAAACAGAGATTAGCTCAGAATTTCAAAATGAGGAATAAAAACTATTTTGGAGATGCCTTTGGCTAGATCAGTTTTAGCTCCTTGGCATGACATGAAAGACCCTCACTTCTCTGTGAGGGTGCAGCCCTTCCAGGCTTATTCTGCTAACCCACTCTGAACTCGGCTTTGCAAGAGATTTCTCTCACTGTTCCTCCCCGAGGGAGTCGTGTTCCCCTGGTGGATACCTATCTGTTTTTAAGTCTCAGCCCAAGCACGACCTACTCTTCCTGAAACTGTAGGTAGGAATGCCCACTGCCTTCGTGAGTCACCCAGACATACACATATTACAGCATCTGTAACATCAATCCACTTATGTTTATGTCTCTAAGGGACTCCTCAAAACCCAGTTCTCAGAAGGGCAGGCTTATGGCCCATTCATTCCTGTATCCCCACACATAAAACAGACACTCAGTGCTTGTTGAATGAATAAACAGATAAGTGAATAAATCAATCATTTAGGTGCTGCAAAGAAGGCTGAACTGTACAGTTACAAAGAATTTGGAAAAGAACAGACATTCTGAAATTTGGACATAGGTGTACATAGAGGGGAGAAGAAATATCAATTGAAGCCAAAAATAATCACGTGTTCAAAAACACAAACCTTCTGACACAATTTTTGTTTGAAAAATGAACCTTTCCTAATAATCATCCCTTCTCCTGAATTTAAGTGTCATTT